CACACACACACACACACACACACACACATTTATTTATTTATTTTTTCCGGAATTTTCAGAAAAGTCCACTTTCATCTCTGTTTTTTGGTGGTGAAACATTAAAAAAGCCGCTTAAAGTCTGTTTGGCTTTTTTTTGGGCATCTTCTACGGTTGGCTCATTCATTTCGCTTGAGCAGATGAGAAAGTGGATGGATGGTAGTGTGTAGAGGTACACAAAGGCATGTTGTGATGTACATGGTGTTACGCATGAGTCATTTCTGTTGCGCATGTGTATCTGCGTACCAATTATTGTCAGGTTCGAAATGAACCGAATAATGTTTTGGATCCCAAAAATGCAGACACAGACAAAACGCAATAACTAAGATGTTTATTATCAAAAAACGTAAAACCGACAAAGCACAAAACTGAAAACGCCGTACGCAAGGATCCAGGAAAAAACGAGGAATCAACAAAAGGGGATTGCAAAAGGCAAAGTATTATATTGAGAAAACAAACGAAATTACAAGAGCCCATTTCACACGAAAAAAATGAAAGCGAGATCAAATGACAAACCAATGACAATACTTACAAAATGTGAAACTAAGGGAACAAGCAAAAATGTGGAACTAAGGTAACAAGAACGACTGAGGAGATCGAGAGGTCCAGAAAAACAACACTTGAGCAAGAGATCAACTAATTTGACAGCCTGCAGTTCTTGAATACATAGAAGCTTGATTACGAAATGAGACACAGGTTTACCGCTGAAGGGTCACGCCCACCACTCCAGCTGATGCTGCAAACAAAACAAAAATAAAGCAGAGCAGAACATGACAGTTATGTGCACCTCTGAACATAAGTACAGATATCAACATAAATTTTGGTGAAGATTGGTAAATTTTCAGACAGTAGCCAATGTTAAGTTTACTGTGTTACAAGTTTAAGCAACCCTGGCATAATCACAGTACAGTAAGTGAGGAGGGAAATTGGGGTCAGCAACTTGGCATTTGAACCCATTCCATTAAAGAAACCACAGGAGCCACAAAACTTTGGACATTGAAAGTTTTCCTTTCTATTTCTGTTGCAAACACCTCCTTGACCTAGGTGGCCTGTTCCAAGTGATATGTCAGCATGTTCACCATATTAGATGTGGCCATCATTAAATCGTCAAATTATAATTGTAAATTTGAATTACATTATACAATCAAAAGCAATTACTAAAAATAAATCCCATGAGTAGTGACTCGAAGATTGTTTCAAATAGTAAGGGAATGCAGCATTTTCACAAATCACTTTACCACATCCAATATGGCTGCGGCATCAACGTATTCAAGGTGGGGCCTTTGTTGATGGACTGCCAATGTTTTCTGTGGTAATACTTCACACTGAGTCTGTTGCAAACGGCGCCACTCAAGACTACTCACTGGGAGGGGCCGTGCTGTGTGAATACTCCAGTATCTGTACCATCAAAGTTATGGAGCAAAATAAGTAACTGTCTGTAGGGTATTTAAAATAATTGAGCTCGCCCATGCATTTCACATGTCCCTCATGAAAGGCTGACGGCCAAGGACGGATGTGGCCACTGGCCTGGAAGGATGAACAATACCTCATTATTTGTTGTAGACAAATAATCGTGATCAGACTAATCAAATGAAGTTTCCCGCGGCACACCTGAAAAAAAAAATTGAGCTCAGGCACAAATTCAGTTGATTGGAGACTATTTTAGAATCCCTCACATCTATGACGATATCAAGTCCCAAAGTGGACAGTGCATACCAGTGCACAAAGCAAGCACGGAGTAAAAGGAGCGGTCTGTAGATCTCTGAGGCAGAATTATGTCAAGGCTCTGATACTGGAAGTGCAAAGAAAAAAAAAATGCTGCTGCTTTGAAGATCTCAGTGAGCACAGTGTGGTGTCCATCATCCAGAATTGGAAGAAGACAGGAATGACTGGGGCTTTTTGTCAGGGGGCTAACCAAGAACCCAATGGAAACTTTGTCCGAGCTCCATCGGTGCTCTGTGGAAAGAGGATAACCTTTCGTCAAAACATCTCAGCAGCAGTCCACCAATTAGGCCTGTAAAGTAGATTGGCCAGATGGAAGCCACTTCTCAGTAAAGGGCACATGGCAGCCTGCCTGGAGTTTGCCAAAAGGCACCTGAAAGACATTCAGACTATGAAAGACAAAAGTTGCTCTTGTTTGATGAGACAAAGACTGAACTCTTTGGTGTGACTGTCGAACATCATGTTTGGATTAAACCAGCCACAGCTCATCACTTGGCCAATACCATCCCCACAGTCAGAGGTGGGCAATTTCTACCATCGTCATCCTCCAGCGGCCTCAGCACCAATCCGCCATCGTCAGTCCGTCATTTTTTCTGTTTTCACCACATTTCCATCAGTCAATTTCATCGATGTGCCAGACGAAGACCAACTGTGCACATCAATCTTAACAAGTCTCGAGTCATTGTCCGCTGTTCCCTAAAAGTTATAAAGAAAAAAGATAAACAAAGCAATTTTACTCATCATTAACTGTACACTTTCTATCCTGATCATCTTAAAAAAACTCTCTCGCTCTCTCTCTCTCTCTCTCTCTCTCTCTCTCTCTCTCTCTCTCTCTCTCTATTTTTAATGTCATCTTTCAACGTTTAATTCTTGTGTTTCATTATTTATTTTTTGTCCTTCTCAAGGTGACACAGCTTAGCGGGAGGGTGTCACAACCCCTGGTGAAATCTGGATCTTGTCTCATATTCATCTTTTGATGTCAAACCCAAATTTTTTCACTCTACAGAAAAGCCTGGCGTGAGTGCGACTATTAATTACCTGACAGAAGACAGGAGTGTAACATACCTAAAAAGGGTATAATGACAATGTTGTACACTGCCGACCAGACCTTCAGATGTCCTGTCTCTTCTTTCCAGGGTGACGCAGCACGAACAAGCATCACACTAGATTTCGGGGATGGTCACGCTCTGACCTATTCCAATCTGAGCTCCATTGAGTATGGGATCAAACACATCTACAAAAATGCAGGCATCTATCGGGTGACTGCAGCAGGGAAAAATAGCCTCGGAACAGACACTGCAATTCTCTACCTACACATAACATGTGAGTTCTACATAGATTTATATTTCTGTTTACAAATGTGTGTTTTTCAGGAGATCACATTTTTCATCGAATTTCGGGGTCTTTTTTTTTTATTGATTGAGTGATTGTCACAATCAGTGAAAATATTGCTCGACAGTATTCACCAAACGAGTCCAATGTGCCACATACTGTAGATCAGGGGTCTCAAACTCATTGTTGTCACATGCCACAATGACATGACCGTTTTCCTTGGAGGGCCTTTATGACTGTGAAAACATTGAAAGAAGTCAAGAATAATGTTTGATTCAATGATTGTAAGTTACTGTGATGAGGGGTTTGGTAACAAGAAAATGCTTACAATATCTCTCTTATTTATTACATATGAGAAGCTGAAATTTTGGTCCAGATTTTAATTAATCATGGCAGAAGGTGACATTTGATTTGCTTGCGCGGGCAACGTAAAATGATGTGGTGGGCCAGATCTGTCCCCCGGGCCTTGAGTTTGACACCTGTGCTGTAGATACACCACAGGCCAGGGATGCTACTTATATCACAAATAAAACATATACAATTCTTAGAACACAATACATTTCTCAGAGCATCGATGCATCTTCCTTCTATTTATGCAAAAGTATCTGTGTTCCCGAGTAGGTCAGCTGGAATCCATCCATCTCTCTGCACCCTTTGTGGCTGTGAAGAATAAGGAGGTGAACCTGACAGCAATTCTGCGGCCGAGCCTAGTGGGAACGGTTACCTATATCTGGTGGATTGGAAATAGCACAGAGGTACTGAATATGTACAGTCCACTTGAATGTTTGTGCTGAATCCTCTGTTTATAGATAATATTTTAGAGCAAAAAGGTTCTTAAGATTATGTCTTTTGAGCACAGTTTGCCAATGAATACCTTAATTTCTGTTCCTTCCGAAAAAAATCTACGGCTGGTCACAATGCTGTAGAGTATGTGTATACCGTGAAACTCCTCTACAACGAAATCATGTTTGCAGCAAGAAATTTTTCACAACAGGGGGTTTTTCACTGTAGCAAATTTGATCTCAGATGTAAACACACACACACACAAACACAGAGAAAAAGATTTCGTATAATGCAACAGGGTTTTTTTTTCGTTGTATTGGTGGCAGGAAAGTGGGAATAGTGTTAATGCATGAAGATTTTTTCATTGTTTGTTTGTTTGTTTATTGAACATATATAAAACATACAGTAACATGACAAAATGCAAGCAAAAATTATGAAAGGAAAATAAAAGTAAAAGTAAGTAATACAAACATCATCACAGTTATATGTTCAAAGGAGTAGGAAGAAGTATACCACTTATCTAGTCCTACCCCTTTTTGAGCAATAATGTATATTGATCATTTCCAATACCAAAGAAAAAGAAGAAATCTAAATTTCATCAAATACTTTTACCCTTTTGTGTACTATGCTTATCTATTGATACACCTTTCGGTTTGTATATATGTATCATTATTCTTTCTACTTTTTATATCAAATGACTCATATTCATTATATATACCACATTTCTTGAATACATTCAATAAGTTGTTCAAAATCCAGAACAAGAACAAACCATAGTATTACTATATTTTATAAGTACCAGTATGTAAAATTATCTTCTTAACTTTGTTTTATGTAGTTTTTTTGTACTAATCTTTTGAATTTGTTTTTGAACTCGTCCAAAGATTTACTCATTTTCAGATCCATCTCAAGCTTTATTTTCGCCCATGTAGGTTTCGTTGTAGTGGAGTTTCACTGTACACTGTATGTACATGGTGTTTTTTGGTGTCACTGTGCACTTGTCTCACGGAGCCCGTCCAAGCACAGCCCGAAAAGTTCAATGTGTTTCCCCTTTCCCATGAGCTCACTAGCTATGGGAGGGGCCAAGGGGTCGGGCGCACTGTGAGGTGGGTAGTGGCAGAAGGCAGGGACCGTGGCACTCCAGCGATCACCAAAGCGATTTATAGTGCGGTAATATACAGTAAGACACACACTAAAGTGCAGATTACAACAGTAATGCAAAGAAATCCATGGCTTTACCACTTCCTACATGTCAATTACTTTAATGAAACAGGACATGTGAACGTGGACTGCACATCTTAACCATTCAAATCAACATTCTGTACCCCTATTCAGCCTGTTTTAGAAGACTCCCTGATGTAATGAATTTCTATTTCAACTATGGATAAGCGCCTGCAGCCATTACAACTCGACAGTGTCAATTAAATAAAGGATAACACATTTCATTTTCGTCTGTCTTTGGTTTCATTAATGAAACATGCAGTCGAATTTATCACCTGAATATTTGACCGTTTGACAACTTTGTGCGGCACATTTTCATATCATTTGGCTGGAAGGTGATTTTTTTTGGGGGGGTGGGGTGCAGGGGAAAGAGGCATGTCTGGCAGCAGCAATAGTGGATGATTGTGGTTGTAATGTGGCATCAACTTCAAATAAGTTCTTTTCGCAAATCCCACCTGCCCAAAAAATTATTTTTGGGCAACATCAAAAACGGTCAATACTTTTATTTTATATATATATATATTTTATATATATATATATATATATATATATACAGCACACATCAGACAACCGTGGTGGCTCACACACTCGCACAGACAGTTGTTCCCTTCTCCACATGCACTCCAACATACAACAGCGCCCATAATAACACGAAATACACAAAACACATGCTAAGATTGTTTTTTTTTTTTTTTTAATCTTGCAAGGCAAAAAAAAATAATAATAATAATTCAAGCAAGATAGGCAGACACTCTCGTGAGACGGAAACCCCGCGGAAGGCTAGTTTGGGGCAACGTTTCTATTCCTTGTCTGAACCATTCCTCTCTGTTCTGCTCCCCTCCCCCTCTCCCTCTGCTCCCTTTTCCCTCTCCCCTCCCTTCCCCCTCTACCCCTCCACTCTGCTCTCACTACAGTAATGACCAGCCAAATTGCAGAAAATCACAGCCTTTGCGATTAGAAAATCGCATTTAACAAAATCACAATATTGGCAAATGCAATTAAGTGTTGAGACCTTTTTCCAGTGAGGGTTGGACTCCCTTTGTCACGAATTCTATTCATATCTTTCATGGACAGGATTTCTAGGTGCAACCGAGGCGTTGGGGGAGTCAGGTTTGGTGGTTTTTGCAGAGGATGTGGTTCTGGTGGCTTCATTAAGCCATGATCTTCGACTCTCACTGGAGTGGTTCACATCGAATGTGAGGTGGTTGGAATGGAAATCTGCACCTCCAAATCTGAGACCGTAGTCCTTAATTGGAAAATGTTCCGATCTGATTGTGAACATACATCTTCGACGAACATATTCATTGTATTGTTAGTTAAAAATTAGATCACTGTAGTAGAAAAGCAAAATAACATTGATATAGCCAAAATCCAACAAAAATTAATGTGAGTAGTTTATCCAAGACCGTTAACGGAACATCAAGGGTGGATTTTATAGAGTTTTTAAAAAATCAGCCCCAGGGCTAGTTGAATACCAGGGCTTGGTACCCATCCCTTGCCACATCTGAGATACAAAAGAGTTTGTACACTTGTGCAACCATAAAAAATATATTTTGTTTATTGTTGTTGTTGTTGTTATGGACGGCCTGGTGGTCGACTGGTTAGCGCGTCGGCCTCACAGTGCAGAGGTGCAGGGTTCGATCCTGGCTCCGACCTTCCTGTGTTTACATGTCCTCCCCGTGACTTTGTGGGTTTTCTCCGAGTAGTCCAGTTTCCTCCCACATTCCAAACACATGCGTGGCAAATTAATGCAACACTCTAAATTGTCAGTAGGTTTAAGTGTGAGCCCGGATGGTTGTTCGTCTCTGCATGCCCTGCGATTGACTGGCAACCGGTTCAGGGGGTGCCCCGCCTACTGCCCGAAGACAGCTGGCATAGGCTCCAGCACGCCCCGCGCCCCTTGTGAGGATAAGCGGAGCAGAAAATGGATGGCTGGATGGATGTTGTTGTTCTTTTACTTCTTAATGATACAGATATTTTTAATTGATTTCATAGGTTATTGGTCACATTAATGGCGGGGAAAAGTTTTGAGGTAATTTTTCTGTCATTAACATGAACAGGAAGGTGCGTAAACATATATATAGACATAGATGACAGGAAGGAGTTGCTGGTACCCTGATACTCTATGCAGTGTGTGTGTGTGTGTGTGTGTGTGTGTGTGTGTGTGTGTGTGTGGCGATCTTAAGGTTTTAAGGCTGTTTCATTTTCCTTCTACTGTTCTCATCATTTGCTGTGGGTGTGTGTGTGTGTGTGTCTGTGTGTGTGTGGGTGTGTGTGTGTGTGTGTGTGTGTGTGTTAGAGAGCTAAGGTCTATGTAGTGGAAATAACAGCAGTGTGAGGCGTGAACCAGCTGTTTCTAAGTTTCCCTCATTCGAGCCCTGAGATTCTGACTCTTTCTCAACTCTCTTCCTGTCTTTCCCTGACTTTATTTTCCCAGCAGCCCATAATCACTCTTGAGGCAAGTGTGACATGTACATTTTCCCAGGAAGGCATCAGCACAGTCACCGTGCAGGTGTCAGCAGGGGATACTATTCTGCAGGAGCAAAAGGCCATCTCTGTCCATGGTGAGTCAACTTTGTAACTGCTTCTGAGATTCTGTCCTTGTAAGAAACATGTCATTAAACATGAAACAAAAACGCCATGCCAGCCTGTAACGGTTGCTCTGATCGTCATTATTATTACTTTTTTTTATGTGTATGATGAGCTCTCTCTCTCTCTCTCTCTCTCTCTCTCTCTCTCTCTCTCTATATATATATATATATAAAAACCTGGTGGCCTAATGGTCGACTGGTTTGCTCATCGGCCTCACAGTGCTGAGGTGTAGGGTTTGATTCCGGATCCGGCCTTCCTGTGTGGGGTTAGCATGTTCTTTTCTCTGGGTACTCTGTTTCCTGCCACATTCCAAAAACATGCACCATATGTTAATTGTTCACTCTAAATTGTCCCTAGGTGTGAATGCGAGCACGGATGGTTGTTCGTCTATGTGTGCTTTGAGACTGGCTGCCAACCACTTCAGGGTGTAGCCGCCTAATGCCCGAAAAACAGCTGGGATAGGCTCCAGCACGCCCCGCGACCCTTGAGAGGATAAGCGGATCAGAAAATGGATGGAATGCATTGTTAAGGTCTATTTTTCCTGAAGTCAAAACAGACGCTCCCCGACTTACGAACATTCGAGTTACAAACAACGGTACATACGAACATTTTTGCGGGTACAGGTATGTCGAAAAATGTTCTCGGACAGAGATGCTATAAGTTAGATTTTGCATTGCGCGCCTTTTTCCGAGTACTGTAGTGCTTCTTTCCGCCACTAATACCGACGTGAGGCGCTGTGAGAGGAGGAGGAGGAGGAGGAAACGCCTGTCCCCATGAAGAAATTCGAGACGGAACTCTTGGCCGAGGGGTTTTCGCTCATAGATAAAGCCATCACACTCTTCGAGCAGCAAGACCCAAATATTGAACGTTGCACAAAGGTTGCAAATCAAACGAATGATGCCATACAGTGCTACTGCATTATTTATGATGAGAAAAAGAAGAAAACTGTGCAATCGTCCTTAAGCCTTCGAGTACATCTTCCAAAAGTAAGTTAAACTTCATTTTATTATACTTATATAAACCTTAAACATACTTATCTAAGCCTTAAACATACATTCCATACAAAATATAGCACTGAAGCAACTTACGAACGAATTCACCTCACGAACGATCCTTCGGAACGTATCTCGTTCGTAAGCTGGGGAGCGTCTGTACTGGCGACACAGCTTTTACTTATTCCTGTGCATTTTTGGTTGCAGAGTGTCATGCTAACAGTTAACATTTAAACTTTTATTATTTTGCACTTGAGTGTACTTTGAAGAAAGATCAAAACTCAGGAAGGTGTCAGTTTTATTTAGCTATTTGTTAATGTATTACCTTTGAATCCAAAATTCAAAGTAAGTTATCTCGTTTATTTTGGACTTAAATTCTCTATTGCAGATTCACTGTTATGGATTTTGTCAGAACTAAATTAAATGTCTTTCTTGAAATTGATCTGACATTGTCATAACAGAAATTTTATGCATCAAAAGTATTGGAGGTATCGGTTACTTGGTATTTTTATCGGTGAGTACCCAAGAGTTGCAGACTCAGTGCTATTGATCTGAAAACATGCGGTATCAAACATCTTAAGTTTTTGATAATGTCTCTGAATCTTATTTCCAGCCTAAATACCTTTCAATCTGACTATGATATCCCCGTCCAGTGCCTGCCTGTTCCTCTAACTTCTCATTTCCATAAAAGGAGCTCTCAATGGGCTTAATCAACTGTTCAGCAGGTAGCTATGAAATTGGACTGAATGGCCACAAATTGGCATTTTGTGCACACATTATAATTATGTTAGTTCCACAATAATAATAAAAACATTAACTTGTGACTTTATGTCAACTTTGACCTGACCCTCCAAAGGTCTCTGCATGGCGCTGGTGACATCTATCTTTTTTTCATGCATTTTTCGTGCAATACAATCCTGTTTTTTTTTCCTTTCTTTTTTTTTTTTTTTTTTTTTTTTGTTGGTTTTTGTTTTTTTCAAATCCAACTTGGGCTTCTCTCATGTGTGGATATAAATCAGATATATACTATACATCATCAAAAGTAGAAGCTCCACACGAACAGTCGAGTGTGCTTTGGGAAGCTATTGACAAATGTCGATGAAACTGCAAAACAAAATGTGAGTAACGGTGTTATTTTTATATTTGATTTTTAATTACTCCCACCTGCAACATGAAACATAAAGTGGATGTTTGTGATTTTAACAAATCATCCACACAGAAGGTTCATTTGTTCCGAGGGACAATGACGTGACGTCATCTTTAGTAGACATCTTGAAATGAGGAGATCGAGCGTCATCTCATCTCGCCAAAATATTTCTACCTCCTCCCATCTTGCGCCTCTGTCTTTCTGAATTGTGCCACTCCCCTGTGGAGCCATATTTACTTCCGTAAACAGTGTCCCATATGGTTTTTTTTTTTTTTTTTTTTTTTTTTTTTGTAGATGTGACATGACTTGTACTTTGTGCGCATGTGTGTCACAACACGGATGTGATTACATTTGATTTTACAAAAGATCCGAATCGGGCATCATACCATGCAATGTGGAAGCAGCTGTAGATAATTACTTGGATATTAAATGACCTCCAAACTCTCCCAGTTGCGTTAATCTCAAACACAACCAGACAAAACAGAATTACATGCAGAACAATAGAATCTCAAAGATGGCCTCTTATGACAAGCTAAAAGTGAACACAACTTCCTCTTCATACAGAATATTTCCAGTCTCATCTGCTGGCCTTTTCTTCAAACTTGGACGACCACAACCCTGATGTTTCAGAATGGAGGCGGGATGTGAGCCGAGTCATTAAGAATTCGCTTATCCAGGTAAAAATGAGTAGCTCCTGTCATGGAAAATGCTTTTTTTTTTTTGGTAAATACTGTCAGCTTGACTGAAGGCCTCGCAGTCTGCAATTGCAGCATGACCTCGCTGACACCTTCAAAGTGAATCTGACTTTCATGATGATGGATCACAAGAAAGAGAGGGCAGGGGAAATTTATAGTCTCAGACCATTTGGATTGCAAGGCTCTTGCTCACGCCAGTGTGCAGTGCCACACAAGCCATAGAAGTTGTGGCAATGGAAGCCTTTTAATGTCAAATGTGAGCCTACCCCAAAGGGGCAGTTTCAGTTCAATGCTTTTGCAGCTTGTCAAGCGAGAGGCATAGTTCAAACCTAGAAGGCATGTAAGTACAGAGTTTGCCTTATTAATTGGCTGCTTGTTGCAACTTCCTGCAAATCTGCAAGACATTTGCATCATATTTCCCCACATTTTCTTCTGACAAAATTCCACTTTGAGCCCATAAAATATACACCGCATATCCCTCTACCAGCGGCTATGTCTGTTTATTTATTATTAACGTCCGGCAGAATACCCATGAACGTCTAAGATCAAAAATATAACAAGATGAAAACACAAATCTTTAACTTGCACAACAACAGCAAATATATTATTTGCAGCACAAGCACAAGAATGAGTAAACGTACTGAGTAAATTTCAATGCAACATTTTGCAAAAGCAATAAGGCCAAGCGGCGCGCTTGCAATAAACTCTTTATTGAGAGCACAGGAAAGGTTAATGTTGGCCATAACCACGCCAAGACAACAACGCTAACCGGTTCATAGCTTATAACACCCATTCCACTCTCTCCTCACTCCTGCCCTCCAACATCTTCACTCCTGTTGCCTTCACAGCCTCTCCAGACCATGGAAATGACAGAGCTTGTGCACTGTATACCACGGTTGCCACAATGTAAAACACATTGGATCTTAGCTACACAATTTGCAATATCTAAATGACACCGGGGTGCGAAATTATAAAACGTTCACATTTCCAGTTCATGTATACATGAGATATCGACAATATATGAAGCAAGTATGATTTCATAAAAACAATAGAAAGTTATTGAATGGCTTGTTAGTTGGAAATCAAATCCGTGTGCATGTACAGTTCCCTCCTTCAGTAGATTGACATTTAAAACACACCAAAACATTGGACACATACATTTTAGCCAGTGCAATTATGCCAATCAACGTACCCTCAATTTCTCTCCAATATGTTCCCCACCAGGCCACGGGTGTGAATGGGGATCATCTACTCGTCACTGTCCTCCCAGGTTTGCCGACAACAGCAGAGTTTTTCCTCCTGCTTGACAAACAGCAAATTGAAGGGGAATACAAGAAGAAATCTGCTTATTTAAATCAGGTAAGAATGTTGGTTTAGAAATTCTACTTCCTTGTCTGTCAACATATCTCCAAATCGGCCCTTCTTTTTCCTACCTTTTGACAGTATTTGTATTGGCAGGTTGATTTCAGCTTGTTATCCACTCGGAGATAATTGTCATTCATACTGTTTCAGCCTGGTCAACTCAGATATTGAATCCTGAAAAATAATAACCAAAAAGTGACTTCAGTCTTCTTCCAGTAGATGTCAGTATTTTCACATTAGTGCAAGACCATCCTTGAGGAATTGCTTCATTATACTCATCGAAATAAACCTGAGAGATGTTAGAAAACTATCAGGGCGAATGATCTTGAAACTCTCCTGTGGCTCATCTTGTATGAGCCAAGCAAGGATATAGATATTGTCCGGATTGATGGATAAATCACTGAATCACTCCTGGCTCAAGGTGGACTAAGAGAAGCTCTGACTTTCTCATTCAAATAACTGATAGTAATTATTTTTGATCTGCTCTCTGTGGGAAAGGTTCCATGAGAGTGAGTGAAACATGAAATTGCAAAGGAAATCAATTTGGTTCACTTGCATGTGGTTAACCGCATGGAAAAGGTCCTTTTTTCCCTCCTATCCAGCAATAAATCTTTATTCAAGGTTGTAATCGTAAAGGGACTGTGCATATTAAAATTTATAGTTAGATTTACGAACTTTGTCAGGTACTAGGACCATAAAGGAACTTAATTTAATCTACAAAGAAGAATAAATGACTACATGAGTTTCTCTAAGTTGCAGTAGTCAACTCCGTGTTTGTTTCGAATGTGCAAAATCATCCAATGAAGAAAATCGTTTTTGGGATCATAATCACCTTAGCTTTTACTGTCAGTTGTATTGATGTGAGCATGGGAATATCCTGTTTAGAGTTACAATAAGTAGTTTACCATCAGGTTGTGCTCATCTATCTTTGCATCAACATTAGGTATTTTCAGTACAAAGCTAGGTAGGTTGAAGACAATGCTGATTAATCAAGTAAGGTTGCAAGTTATTTGCATTCAGACTTTCACATAAACCTAGGATTTGCTGTTAGGGACTGAAATTCCTGTGAGACAAAGTGGCTTGTACATAATTGAGATGAATCCTAAACAGTAGCTGTATCGTTAGAACTTTTAAATATGCCCCTTAATTCAGGGTGCTTCACAGCAGGAGTATCTCAGGTATTTTGGACCATTTCTTTTTTGCCTTCCCTGCTTATTGTGCCATGTTTTTGTGGTTTGTTAACAAAAATAATACCATAATTTGTACAGAGGATCAAACCTTTTAACAGGGTCACAGACACGTAACAGCAAGCGGGCTGTCGGAGGCCGTGCCCGTTCACGAAGATGCTTATGCCCCCACACCTCCATTTGAGGCATAGATTTCTAAAATTAGCTATTTTTGTGGTGTGAAATACTAATCTTGAGTTGCTTATCACAAAGACATAACATTTACAGAAACAGTGGTGCTCAGTCTTATCTGCAACAGCCAATCAGGGCCTTACTGGACATAATGTTAGGTACACGCTACACAGGTTTATGCACAACAAGTACGTCAATGTTTGCATGTGAGAGTCCTGCACATCTTTCAAAGTGAATCTGGATTTTTTTTGGGTGGGCGGCATTATGTTCTGTTGCAAGACGTGTCTGTAAAATATGTACTCTTTTGTAAATAACAAGAGCCGAGCACACTGCGATAAACTGGCACGTGGGGTAGCAATCTAAAACTCAACATCAGTGTAAAAACATTTATCGGTACATTTCTAATTATGCCCACAAAAATGTCTAAAAATATTGCACCAATATTTTGTACGCTATGGATGAAGCGTTTCTCTCATGCAGTGACATAAGCTCTGCAGTGAGCACCTGAGAGAAAAACGCCAGCTCCACGAAAGACGTAATACTTGGGTGATCATTCTAATATTTCAGAGGTTGATGTGAGCATAAGTAGAAATGTCAACATATATTTTGGTGACTCTTTGGTGAATCATTTTTTTTTCCTTGCGTTTTTTTTTTTTTTTTTTAGCAAATAAACGTGATACTGATACATGCATTTTAGGTGATTTGGTGTTTTTCACAAACTCACAAAGCAGACAGTCCCACTGAAATATTTTAATCACCCAAAAGTTTTTCTGCTGAAGAAGAAAAAAACAGAAGACATAAAATCAAACATATAACATTTTAGGGTTCAGATTAACCGAAGCTTCATTCTTTGTACCAACAGTTGTTTGAGATGATGCTGAGTGCCTTGAATCAAAATCTGGTTCAGTTCACCCTGCGACCTGGGGTCCAGGTCACAGTCTACGCAGCACACCTATCAGCAGGTAATGACACAGCCACTGGTGTAAAACTATTTTGTGCTGCCTTTTTCAAGTCACTGCTAAGCAGTTTAATAGTTAGCATACAGAAAGTATTTGGAAATGTATCTGATCTACACAGCGGATATGTACAGTATTATGTGCTGTACATGCTGCCCTCATTACTGAATAATGCCAACTCTGTGTGTGATTGGCTTACACCATTTAGCAACACGATAAACTTTGACAGTAAGAATTGTTGCAAGTATGTGTCCCTCTCTGCTCAATGGGATGCTGCTACTGTCCCGACCAAAAAAGCAAATGCCCTGCAATAAATGTAACCACCGTATACTTGTAATTACCGTAAACTCCTGTAAATAACACTCACCTGTATATTATATGCCCCCTCCAAATCACCCTCAAAAGCAATTTTATTTCTCTGTACTTGTGTACGATTTGCTGGTACCCTGAGATACGCTGCGGAAAATGATCAAATTTGCATAATTGGTTAAAAAAAAATCATTAATGGATGGATGGATAGATGAAAACCAAATCATGGAGCTTTGTCTGTCAATGCCAGCCGATTATAGGGATAGACAGAGCAAATACATTTTTTTCTATTAAATGGCAGTCAGTATGTAACTGACATGCATTGATTACGGGCTCATCTCATCATCATCATCACGGTCTCCTGCTTATCTGAGATCAGGTCGCGGTGGCATTAGCTTTAGCAAGGAAGGCCAGGTTTCCATCTCCTGAGCCACTTTGTCTTGCTCGTCCTGGGATATCCTAAGTCCTTCCCAAGCGAACTTGTAGACAGTCTCTCCAGCATGTCCTGGTTCGTCCTCTGGGCCTCTTCCCAGTGGGACATGCCTATAACACTTCACTAGGGAGCCATCTAGGAGGCATTCTATTAAATGCCCAGGCCATCTCATCTGGCTCCTCTCAACATGGAACAGCCCGTACTAGGGTGTTCAATACCCAATACTCCCAGAGCACTCTGCACAATATACCCTGGGGTACCCGGTCAAAGTCTACAAAACGCATGTAGACTGGTTGGGTAGGTGAACTCCCCGGTCCTCCTTCTTAAAATAACCCTGGTCTGCCAGTCCTGAGGTACTGTCTCCAATGTCCATGCACTGTTTTAGAGGGATGTCAACCAGGACAGCCCCACAACATAAAGAGCCTTTAGGAAATCCGGACGGATCTCAACCGCCACTGTGGCTTTGTCACCGAGGAGCTTTTTGACCACCTCAAGGACTTCAGCCCCAGAGATAGGAGAATCCACCTCAAAGTGCACAGATTCTGCTTCCTCAATACAATACATCTTTATTTTTTGTAGCACTTTCGCAACAGCTGCAGCTCTAACAAAGCGCTTTACACAACAGTTTAAAAAATAATATTAATAAATAAATAATAATAATAATAATAATAATAATAATAATATAACAACACAACGTAAGACACGGACAGTCATGCAATCTTAACCACTTTTCCTTTGTACACTTGGTTATTTGAAGCAGTTATAGATGAAAGAAGAGAATCAATGTGTCCTTTCATCCGGGGGATCAGAGACATCATGCCCAAAATGTGCACACGCCTGCTGCAAGCTAAGTTTGAATACAATGAAACAAGAAGCTGTCGCGTTCATTGACCAAAAGAAAAAAAGATGAATTCAATTCTCCTGTCCCATGCAAATCCGCTTCAATTCCGAGCGGCAACTCTCAGTTCCAAATATGCATCCACACTCCGCACCGATGCGCCTTTCCTCATCCACCAGACTGTCCAACAGCACCGCTGTGTCCGCTGAACAAAACGGGGCTGTGAAAAATGCTGCCCATTACAGGCGCAAAAAACACAAGCGCCCCCGGGGCTGTGCAGCGGGGACAGACAAATTGCGCCAGCATTCCTCCAATCAAAATCAGTGCTGGCCCATGCATGCTGCCGAGAAGGCGCAACTACCAAGCACGGATTCTTCTCCTTTGACGAATGTTGTGGCCAGAACGCTGAAAACAGTTCATATCGGTTCTACACGAAGGACAACAAACATCATAGGACAAAACAAAAGACAACCAACTCTTGCAGACGGCTGCCAACTACGGCGCCATCTTGGAGTCTTCGATGTATTCTCCTCACCACCTCACACTGTCTCGATTCGAGATGAGCCATACCCATCTCCACTATTTCAACCCGAAACCCTCAGAAGCGTTTTCTCTCACACAGCATCATTCGTTCTGCATGTAATTAATCAGGTATTTTTAGTTTTACTGCTGTAAATTCGCCCTCAGCATGTATGTAATAAAAGTTGGGTTTTGTTTTTGCAAATCTAAATCTTAATTGATGAATATAAAACTCTGAATATCCTAAATACAAATTAGTACCTTCAAACTAGAACCATAAATTTCAAACAACAACAAAAAAAAAAAAAACATTCAATTCACAAAAAATGAAACTGTCTGGGGGTTTTTGCGTTTAAACTCTTCAATTGTTTCTTCTGCGGGGCTGTAAATGCTTTGCTTGGCAGTCCATTTCCATTCCAACAGCTTCAGCAATACAGCATGCCCATCAGTCACTGCAGTGCACATAATGGAGTGCCACTTTATGGCAAAGTTTGTTTTTGGAATGGAAGCCCTGCCAAAGAAAGACGGCCATCCTTGCCCAGTCGAGCTGCTGTGCGGGCTGGTCATCTGGAGAGGGCGCGGTGGCCTGCCAAAATACTCTCAGCTCAGTGTGCTCACAGTGTGTGTTTTGGGGCACTTGGAGCAGCTTAATAGCATTTCAATTTAGTTCAAAGAGAACATTTTAATTCATGGACAAGTAAATTAAGTTATGTGTTTGGTCACGGAACAACTCGTAAGTCAAGCTACCATCTCAGGTTACAGTATATTTTGGATGCTAACACTTAGTTTCGCTAGGTTGTGTTTTAAGTTGTTTTTGCAGCGACATTTACGATGGTTACTTCCGTCTTCTGTTTTCTCCGCAGCACCGCTAGTGGACAGCAGCGGTAACCACAGCACCCCTGCCATGTTGATGTTGCTGTCAGTTGTGATTGTGGGTTTAGCTGTTTTTGTCATCTATAAATTTAAGAGGTAAAATCTTCCCGAAATGCTATGAGTATGAGGGAAGCAAGGGAAGCAAGTGAACGGTTTTGTAGCTTGTAGGTGGGGAACTTGATAGCTTTGTCAACAAAAGCATCTTGCTAGGTTCCATTTTGTTTTGATAGCCGCCCATCAAAAGCCTCCCTCTGCGAAATTTGATGGAGGGGAATCATCTTTTCCCCTCACACATATTTTCAAATAACTTGGAAGTCTTTTGTTTGGTCTAAATGTCAGTCCGTCGTCATAGTTTATCGATAGTAAGCCCTTTTAATGTCGGCAGTTGACCTTTCTCAAATGTTAAATGTCTGCTCACCAATGTGGTGTTGCACAGTAATAGGGCAGGAGGTATCATGACGATTCAGACAATCAAAAGAAAAGAGCAAAACCTTATCACCTATACTAGTAATTGCTGAGACATGACACGTATTCCAGAAATAAATGGTTTGTAGCTGGTGTGCAAATAGGAGAGCAGTACAAGTGAGGTGAAGACACTTGCAGTGGCCCCGCTCTTGTTAATTCAGTTAGGCTGCACCCTTCATCCATTTGCCTCAATGTAAATCTTTTCTCAAGGAAGATCCCAGGCCTCAACGTCTATGCGCAGATGCAGAACGAAAAGGAACAAGAAATGATTAGTCCAGCTAATCCAACAGAGGCCACGCCAAGCTCACAGCGGGACGTGGTTCATTCTTTGGAGACTATGGACACAGCGTTTAACTCACGGCTCATTGGTAAACATGCTGTTGATGGCGTTTCATTTTTGTTTTCGCTTTTCATACCTCTGTGATTATGTTTGTGTTCCATCATGAAACTCATCTTTCACTTTGTGTGTGTGTGTGTGTGTGTGTGTGTGTGTGTGTGTGTATGTGTGTGTGTGTGTGTGTGTGTGTGTGGGTGTGTGTGTGTTTTTAGAACTTAAATGATCCAGTCCAGGAGGGCATGGAAACTAAAAAACTAAATGAGTATGATGAACAGTACATCTGTGAACATTAAGGGCTCTATATTCGTGCCCAGTGCAAGTTTAATCATTCTCTTTAAAATCGGTGCACAGTCCTTGACATGGCAGAAGCAACTGAGTTGCTGGAATCCATGCAAGAGCTCGAAGTGTACAAAGGAGGTCGAAAGGAACAGTGAACAAACCTTGTGTAATTTAAAAATTGGCCAGGGTGATAATAGACCACCACTGTGATAAAAAACAAATTTTAGTTCAATGAATTGATTTCTATAATGATTCAGAGTTCGATGCACGCTGTTGTCGTATTTATGAATGAAGTACTTTGTATACGATGACATCCACTACACATCCGCTCAGAATCTGTCTGCTTGCACCTCAATCAGAGTCAATAAAAATGCTTTACACTACCTGCTCCACTACTTAGATGTGGTTCCAGCACGTGTAAAGTTCAAACTACTTTTAGCCTCGAAATTCTCAAATGAATCGGAGGCATCTCAAATTAAATGCCCTCATGACGCAGGGACGCCCACTAGGGCGCAGAAGTCGCCTGCCGAATTCCCAAACACGCGAACCACGTCTTGCACTGGCACAAACATCAATATGTGCCAGATTTGACGCTCGCGTACACCTGCCCTGTCTATTGAATATAGAGCCCGAAAAGTTTAGACAGATCAGATTTGATCTAATGTTCTTCAATGAAATACAGTGTTCCCTCACTACTTAGCAGTTCAGTTATTGTGGATTCATTCGAACACGGATTTTGATCTGCGATCATAATTTCATGTATTGCAGTTTTACCTTCTTATTTTGGCACATTTTCTTGCTACTTTTCTTCCTTCTTAATTGGACCATCAAAAAATGTCTTTTTTATGTATTTATTTAATTTTTATTCAAGGAAATGTGTTTTGCAAAAACCGAGACCATAACAACAGCTTGTCACCGATAATCAGCAGCCCGGTATTCATTCTATATTTTGCCTTTTAAAAGTTAGATTTATTAAGTGTAACAAGTGTTTAGAAGGGTAGGCACCATGTGGGGGGGTTCATAATGCACCCCCCTCCCAAAAAAGGTCAACATCTACTTCACGGAAATTCACTTGTTAGGGGGGTGCTTGGAACATATCACAAAAGTGAGGGAACACTGCAGTGTGTTTTGCCAACTAACCAACCTGTTTTGTGTCAATATATATTTAATTTCATCACCAACATTGTAATATAAAATATTAAGGCAAGCAGCAGCAATGCACTTTCAGCAGATTGTTGTGTTGTGATTTCAAAAATGAGATAAGACAGTCTATAAAATGTGTATTTAGGGTCGCCATTATCTGGAATGAAAAGCAGATTCTTTCGCAGTTCAAAAATATATTCAACCACACATACAGTTTATTGTCCCTTATCCTAGTAAGTGACAGGGTGGGCGTGATAATAAATCTGGCTACATGTCTATATTTAGAGTCAAGAAGTGACGGTGATTTTCTTTGCCTCGAAAACACACACACACACACACACACACACACACACACACACACAGCAACATTAGTCCCTGTGGTGATGAACAAGATACTGTAGGGTCGCCATTATCTGGAATGAAAAGCAGATTCTTTCGCAGTTCAAAAATATATTCAACCACACATACAGTTTATTGTCCCTTATCCTAGTAAGTGACAGGGTGGGCGTGATAATAAATCTGGCTACATGTCTATATTTAGAGTCAAGAAGTGACGGTGATTTTCTTTGCCTCGAAAACACACACACACACACACACACACACACACACACACACACACACACACACACACAGCAACATTAGTCCCTGTGGTGATGAACAAGATACTGTCAATCCCTACAGATGCTTTACCATGGATCAAATTATAAATTATTGAGTTACGCAAAGGATATTGACATCAATGAAAACATCAGACATATCCAGTAATATATTCATCAATGTGTTTGGCAAATAAACTCTCCCGTATCATGCACTGAGCGAGAGAAGAAAAACAGACAACATTGCTTTCAAATTTAAAAAAAAAAAAAAAAAAAAACTGAACATCAGAGTTTGGCAAAACAGGAAACCCTCTGTCAAATCTAAGGAATTTTACCATCAACATCATGCATTATTTCCTTCGATAAAATGGCATCAGATGAAATTTTAAATGAACAGCTTCGAACAAAAGGGCTTGGGACAAAACTGATTGATGCAGATTAGCCGTTTAGCTTCTCAGTGTTGGGATGGAATTTTTCTCTTGGAGGGGAAACGACGGTCAGTGATGTTCAGTCATCTCTGTATGCTGTCCCCGGACAAGAACACTAAAATCTACCTACAAGCTGTTTTCAATTTATTCTCATATTTTTTCACACACATACGCACTTGGTTTTGTCTTGATTTAAGTTCTGTTTTAACCCTTTCATGCACCAATAATGAGAAGCTGTGACCTGATAACATGATAAGCTGTCCGCTGTGGTGACCGCTGTCCTGAAAGTGATTATGATGAGAATCAGCGGTTTTACAGGGTGGCGAGGGCTGCCACCTTTAACAAACGCAAATACCGGTACGTATGCAACATCGCAGTCACCAATCATGACCACCAACACCACTCGAACCAGCAGCCGCTTATTGGAGGGCCCCTGAACTCACGTCAGTGTTCGGGTGGACGGCTCCTTCATCCTGCGGGTCATTCTCCAGCGCTGGGGAAACCACGTGTGTGCTCTAGCGCAACGCCTTTTTCCCTCTCGAACATGACCTTTGTTATAACCCCATCCACCCACCGGTAACGGATAATAAAACATACATAACCCAGTATTAGGATTTACTGCTAAAAAACAAACAAAAAAATAAGTTCCTTCTCACCATTTAGAAATTGTTTTTCAGGTATAGTTTTTTTTCATAAAACCAAACAAAGTATTTTGGATAAATAAAGGTTACATTACAAAAAGAACAATCCTTGTAGTTTTCTTGAGCACAGTACCTCATCCTAAGTTTACTCTCCTACAATAAAAAATAATGCTTGACACCTGAGAAGAGTGAAATATATATTTAAAAGGTTTTCTATTTGTATTAATTGATGATTTTCATAATATTCATAGTGCAAGTGTGCATAGTGTACACAGTAGTTGTTGGTTCCATTTTAAATTGTACAAAACATTCACGGCTTAAAATGTGAAGGCCACAACATCGCCTTCAATTGAAGTTGCACCATAACTTATAAACATGTCACATGTGCTGTTACAAGACCTACAAAGTTCGATCAAAGTTGAATGTACAATAATTTTAACTCTTTTTACGATTAATTACGATAAATTGAACATACCTTAAGGAATTCAGGCTGTAAGATAATGATAGTTATGTAAGAGGAGCTGCTTATGATATGCTAAGATTTACACATGATCCGATTGACTAATTGCAAACGCTATCGGTGACAAGTCAGCTAGCAAAATAATCGTTTGTGGCAACCCTATTTGAACATTTTTTATTGAATAGCCAACACAGACTGGATAAGTGCTCAACATTAAGCTATCTTATTCACGTGACACGCATAAGACCTGGTAATGCAGAAAATAACCCTTGAATTAAAAACGTGTGTGTGCGCATGTGTCTGTGTGTGTGTGCGCATCTGTGTATGTTCACTTGTGTGCGTTTATGTTCGTTGAGGGGGTTTATAACCTCCGCCCTCTCAACTGAACCTCCTACCATTTTTTTTTTTTTTTTACTTGTCGCAAGCTGTTTTTTTGACACAAAGAAATTACGAACGAGTTCAAACATGTTTAGTGAGATACCAGCTTAAGAAGCTGCACATTTTCCTCTAAGAGAATGCTTTCCCCAGCGCTGGCATTACAACTGTTTGTATCTACGCCTGTTTGTATTAAATTGTAAACTGTCCTTGAGACTCTTGGAATCATTTCACAGCTGTTGGAATAAAAGAACGCAGGGTGGACTTGTGCCCTGTAAAAGAGCTGGTCCGAACATCAGCGAGCTCTACATTCATGCAAGCTGTTCTATTGTCGGCATAAGAAAGATGTATTTTTATTTGAGTGACAGTTGACAATTAAGCTGGGTGTGGTTTCGGCGCATTGTGTTCTAGGGAAGGGAATTGTTAAGAGTTTAGCGATTCCAATTTAATCCTACTTAGCGATCTGATTCCTTATCGATTCTCATTGCTAAGGAATGAAATACAAACGATAGACTGAACGGTGGCAGGAGAGGGGAGCAGGGTGCACTTAACAAAATTGCAGGAGTACACTGGAAAAACTAACTGAAGTATACATACAAAGTCCTGAAATCCACAGGAAAACAAAGTAGCAAAAAAAAAACTCTGACAGAAACAAAACATGACAGGCACACACAGAATCACAATGATCCAACAAAGACTGACAGAATCCAGCGAACGAAATACATGCAAAGTGGCAAGACAACGACAAACACCTAGACAAGACGCAAAGGGTTGAGGTAGCTGATTGGTTCAACACAAGACACCTGGATGACGAGAAGAGGTGAAGACAAAAGGGGCACGAGGCAACAAAACCAAATCTAATATGAATAAAAACATAACAATTTTTTTTATTCTTCAAAAAAAAATTATATATATATATATATATATGGTTTTTTTTCCCAATATATTTCAATGATCGTTACGGGATTTTCCGCTATTCGTGGGCCAGCCCGGTCCCTATCCTCCATGGCTAGCGGGATTGAATTGAATTGAATATAACTTTATTGTCAAATGTGCTGTACGTATGTGTAACATACGGCACAGATGAAATTTCTTCCCTCTCACATAAAACAAGAGGAGCCGCTGCGAGTGTCCGCGCCGACATCAAAAGAAATCAAAAGGATCCACTATACCGCATATTAAATCATGGATGCCATTATAATATACAGTATAATATGTAATTCTTTGTCATGCGATGATGTTTTTGCATATTTTAAGTATTCCGCAGTGTGACAAAACTAAAGTAATCCCACTCTCTTCGCACGTAATATAGCTCAATGAAATGAGAAAGAGAGAGAGCGGGAAAGAGACTTTAAATATGTCCACACTTTGCTCTTTTGAGCTGGCACAAACTGCACAGTGTTAGTAAACGAACACACAGGTTGCTACAGAAAGAGTGTGTGGGCCACAATAAAGGCAAAAATGGGGATATATTGATTGACGCGGGTCAGTCTCATTCACGGGAATCCACAGGTATACATGTGAAATTGTAAATACGGTGAAGTATAGTTAGAAAACACAATGCATACCAGGAAAAAAAAAACTGACTGTTAATCTGATGTTGTCCTTTCTTAGTCCAATCATTGTACAATGTTTCCATTGTTCAATTAATCTTTCATTTTTGGAGATCATGTTAAACATTTTAACTCGAAGATCTGGTGTTAATGTGAAAGAATCTACTTTTTATTGACATGCTATGTTTTCAGTTCTGTTTTGTCATTGCTGTTACTGCTGCCAAGACATTAAAATTATTGTGCGCTAACTCTCACCTGATCCCAATGTCCCTTGAAGTGACAATACCACCAAATCATCATGTTTGAATTTTCATGAAAAATTCACATTATTTTTTGCTTTGTTTCCTCTAGGATGTAATAAGACTCATGTTCATGTACAATTCTCCACAGAACTCCCCACGTACGTCGTCTAAACTGTGGAATGGAACACCACTACTGCTGCATCATATATTTGCTTTCAGCAATTTGGTACTCTGTGTTTTTCAGCTTTACACCTGTGCATGTTGGACCTTTCTGACACATAGTGTACTCTTACAAACCAGAGGAAAAACTGTGTTTAGTTTTCTTTGAACATATATCCAATAAATTATATTTTTATTACATGGTGGTTTGTACAAGCCACCCCAGCAATTCAATGACAGCATGATCGAGAAGGGTGACAAATGTCACAAGAGGCAATGTTTTGGTTTTGCCTACATGAGAACACTGTTTATAAGCTATGCGAAACAAAGAGCGGCAGTGAATTATTTATTCATAGGAATATATATTTGTTCTTGAAGTGGATTTCAACTGATTTGTAAATCATGAATGTCAATCTTTGTTTATAATGTACAGTATGTATTTGAATGACAACAAGTGTTACATCAAACAAAAATGTTGCTTTCAATTTGAATAGGCTACAGCAGGGGTGTCAAACTCATTTCACATTGTGGGCCACATACGACCTCGCTAGATGTCAAGTGGGCCGGACCATTAAAATTATACCATACTCTGCTATAAATAACCAAAATAACATGTCTTTCCTTTGTTTTGGTCTAAAGAAGCACAAGAACATTACGAACATGTTGAAATTTAATGAACATCTCTTTTCCAAAACATTTCATCAAGCAGATTTCCTTAGACAAATGTGCAATTTACTTTTATCATTCACATATATGCATTGCAACGGATCCCACTGATTGTACAAAGCCACAAAACTTTAACAAGTAATTGGTATTGAAAAATATCGCAATGCACTTTAAGATTAAGCGAGATTTATAAAGAAAGGAATTTTTAAACCATTAACACGTGCATATAAAATCTAAATTTAATCCCTGCCTACTCTTTACAAACTAAGGAGAGTGCTATTAAATGTGTAAAGAATAAAGTATTCACATGTACTTGATAGCGTCTGCTGTGTCGGGGCTGTCTCAGTGACAGACTGAGACTGCGTTTGTCTTCTTCTCTGATCAAAACAATGTTGTCTTCTCTGATCAAAACAGTGTGTCCCCTCGCGGATACTCCATGAATTGCACCTTATTAAAACTATTCATTCTGTGTCTTTTTTGCATTTTTTTCACTTTTAAATGATCCTGCGGGCCTGATTGAACCTCATGAGGGGCCGGTTCCGGCCCGCGGGCCATGTGTTTGACACCCCTGGGCTACAGTATTACCACGGCTGCGTTGTTTAAAAAAAAAAAAACACCAAAAAAAAAAAACATGACACAATATTTAAGTTCTATTTGTAACTTTTTATTTATGATCAATAGACCAGGGTGTGGCTTTCTTCATGAAGAATAAGAAAAATGACTTCTTGCATATTTCAGGCTAATGTTCTGACCTGCTGTGGTTCATTTTTGCTCAATAAATGGATATTGCTCTGCAGGCGCTCAGGATGAATAGAGCACAACTCTAGCAAGCTACACGAATGAACATCTTCTAATCTGACAGACATAAAAGCCTAATTGATGCGATTCCACTTGTAAAAATGTACAGTATTTACTATATATATCCATTACCAGGAAGTTAGGTGTGCAATGATACACAAAATTCATGGTTCCATTCGGTTTGATACTTCAATGTCAAAGTTCAATATCAAAGGTAAACAGCAAATTTTAATTTTGAGAATCCTTGGTATGTCACTTAATGTATTTTTGACCCAAATTTTTTTTATAAGCTCATAAGGTTTTTGAGATAGTTTTTGTGTTTAGGTTTGACCTAGAAAAGCATGCAAAATACGGATTTTACCATGCATTGTAATTTCTGTTGGGCGGCCCGGTAGTCCAGTGGTTAGCACGTCGACTTCACAGTGCAGAGGTACCGGGTTCAATTCCAGCTCCGGCCTCCCTGTGTGGAGTTTGCATGTTCTCCCCGGGCCTGCATGGGTTTTCTCCGAGTACTGCGATTTCCTCCCACATTCCAAAAACATGCATGGCAGGCTAATTGAACACTCCAAATTGTCCCTAGGTGTGAGTGTGAGCGCGAATGGTTGTTCGTCTCTGTGTGCCCTGCGATTGGCTGGCAACTGGTTCAGGGTGTCCCCTGCCTACTGCCCGAAGACAGCTGGGATAGGCTCCAGCACCCCCCGCGACCCTAGTGAGGATAAAGCGGTTTGGAAGATGGATGAATGAATGAATGTAATTTCTGTTCCCGAAAAAAATTCCAACTGTTGCTAAACTGAACCCTCAATTCATCACTAGGACAAAATTGTATTATTGTTATTATGAAAACCTGAAGTGCTGAAAAAATAAGTTAATATTCAGAATCAGCGCCCAAAAAATATCAAGTAAAGTTTTGTTGTTTCTCTGATTCAAATACTTGTTGACCAGTGCATTTTTGGAAACTCAAAAACGTTTTAATGCCGATTTTTAAGTTAGATAGCACTGCCTTCTCCATGATAAAAGACATGAAGACGGAGGGGATGATATCATCTCCCAGCACAAAGCACCGTCCTGGCACACCTTCCCCCACTCTTCATCCTCAGCTCACGGTGGTGCGGGGCAAGGCTGCGCGTGGGCAGTTTGACAGTGTTTGTCTTGGGGCCCCAAATGACGAGCTACATCCCTGCCTGAGCCAGAGACGTCGCCGGCTGGCTGACATGACCATTGTATGATTAGCGGCTTGTGCAAAAGGCAGCAAGTAGCGACAACACCTAATGTGAATTACACAACACGCTGACCATCGACAATTCATGTATGTTGCAGTAATATTCTTCAATTGTGCACTAAGAGGATCTCTGCCGCCTTTGGAGTTTTTCCTTGATCGATTATGAGAGCGGGATTGCTGGGCTGCGCTTCCCCCCGCAGCTTGGGAAAGTCTTCCTCCTTAGTCCCTACTCCTTGCTGAATTGAAGCATTTTATGAGGCAGAGGGAAAACTAAACTACTCACTAGCAGTACAACTCTATGAATCATAATACAGTGGTACCTCTACTTACGAAATTAATTGATTCTGGAAGAAATGTCTTAACTAGAAAATTTGGAAAGTAGAGACGCGTTTTCCATGTAAAAGCCTCCTCCCCTCCAAAATTCAGACAAAAATGTTTACGAAAGGATAAAAATGCATCAAAATATGTAACAAATACATGTTACAATTAGATTATTGCACAATAAATGAGAGTTGTGCATAATGTAAAAAACAGAATAAAGAATAAAAATGATGGTCATTTAACTTTTAACTGCGTCCTCATCGTTTTTTTTTTGCCCTCTTAAGTCGTCGTTCTCTCTCAGAAGATGTTTTTGCCTGGCGTTTTGTAAAGAACTGATCCAAGGACATTTGCTTTTGTTGGCTTTTAACAATCCTTCGAAATTATCCAAGACAAACATCACCATGGTGAGCGATTGCCTGCCTGGTGTACACTTTTTCTGGGTGATTCACATTTAGGTAAAACTATCGGAAGGCCTCATGGCTCGAGGGGCGAATGACGAGGACGCTGCATAGACACACCCATTTTCCGATCCATTAATCCTCACAAGGGTCGCGTGGGTGCTGGAGCCTATCCCAGCCGTCTTCGGGCAGTAGGCGGGGGACACCCTGAACCGGTTGCCAGCCAATCGCAGGGCACACAGAGACGAACAACCATCCACGCTCACACTCACACCACGGGACAATTTAGAGTGTACAATCTATCTGTAATGCATGTTTTTGGAACGTGCGAGGAAAACATAGTACTCGGAGAAAACCCACACAGGCCTGGGGAGAACATGCAAACTCCACACAGGGAGGCCGGAGCTGGAATTGAACCCGGTGCCTCTGCACTGTGATGTAGACACGTTAACCACTGGACCACCAGGCCACCTGCATAGACAGATATTTATCCATCTACACACACACACACACACACACACACACACACACACACACACACACACACACACACACACACAGTAGAAGTCCCTCTGAGCCAATGGGATGCCAGGATGATGCCAGGTAATAGCCAATGGCAGAGCAGCTTGAAGTACGTATGTTCCATTCAGGAAACTCGGATCTGTGACTCGCAGCCCATACTGTATTTTTACCTTTGGTATCTTGAAATTTATTTCGTAACAAGAGGCAATATTTTCCTGTTGAAATGTTTCGTAACTAGAAAATGTCATATGAAGAGAAGTTCGTAGGTAGATGTACCACTGTAATACTAATAATAATGCTATTTATTTGGCATGTTTGCATTTAACCATGAGTGTTCCGTGAACTCTGTAACAAAATATGGACGATCTGTAATACGACTTGACAGCTCTTCCAAAGTTTGCTAAAGCTGCCGAGACAGGCTGCCTGCTGCTTTGCAGCTCCAATGATCAAAGGGATTGAAAAAAAGTGGTTATAAACAGATACATGTATCATTGCACCTCTATATATCGGGGTACAAATGCTTCATCAAAATGGGTACTAATCCGTGCTTCATTAATTTTATTACCGGCAGGCTGTCAGTTTTGCTCAAATAAATTTCCTAAATGAAATGTATGAAATGTGCATTTGACTCTGATACCTTTCCGTTGAACATGTTATGACAAAAGTTTCTACAACATAAAATCCAAAGGAATGTTACATTGATGTAATGCCTAAATTTCAAAAGACCAAGCGGAAGAATAGCCCTGCCTGTAATGATGTGGAAGGAAGACCAAGAGGAGGAGGTAATGAAAATGAGATGAATCAGGAAGTCTTTATCTGCTCACCAGCTCTGTGTGTGTGTGTGTGTGTGTGTGTGTGTGTGTGTGTGTGTGTGTGTGTGTGTGTGTGTGCGCACACGCATGCTCAACTCACCTGTGACCTTGAATCAGATGGATTATTTGGACATTTGAACACATGAGTCTTAAGCAAATGATCAGGACGTTTTGTCTTCAACCTCTGAGGGTACTCGTAGTTATTTGATTTTAGAAACATTAAATTGTTGGATACAACAACAATGGATGCAACAGTGAAAATCATCTATTGTATACCGTGGTCAATAAATGTGGAATGATTTTGAATTAATCTTCAACTGACAATACATTTCATTACAATTCTATGTGTATTTTATTGTGTTTTTCATGAATCTGGCGCTTTGACCTCAATTTTTGTAGATGGTGCGTGCAGAAATGTTGGCGTATCATATTTGTGTTGGCGCATCATATTTGTGTTGGCGCAAGGCACGCTGCACCTGGTAGCCAAGTTGGCTAAACACTGCGCCGTGCTGGGCGTTCCAGCACAGTGAGGGTGTGTCCTTCAAGATACATGGAGTGACAAGTTAGTGGCAGAAAGTGAAATGTATGTTCAGGGGCTCCAATACAAACAAAATATTTCTTCCTGTCAGTGCTCTTCTCTTCACGTAGTTTAACTCTTGTAATTTGTGTATAATACATTCAGAGAAAACAATTAAACAGTCTCCAATGCTTTTTAAAAGAGAA